GAAGATCTGAGACCACATCACCGCCATCCACATCCAGAAGGAGAATGGCCTGAAAGGGTTGTGCGTCATTAGGGCTTACCATGCGAGGAAGGTGGCGCCGTTGATGACACGCACGCTCCCGCTATACACGATGGCGCCCGAGGCGTCTTTCGATAGAACGGCGCTCGCCGAGGGAACGCTCCCCAACTCTGAGATCGCACAACGCATCAAGGAGGTGATGGAGCCTTTGTGGGATGACTTGGGTGCCGCCCTTGACTTCATCTACCCGGTGCCAGGGCATCCTCTGATGCGACCAAAGCTAGGCTACATTGTCTTCATAAGTTTTCCTTTCTGTTGCCTTCTCTTCAATTGATTTCCTGACCCCGTGAGACTAACTTTGTGAGGTGCGGGACCAGCCGAGGGACCTCATCCTCATGGATTACCTGGCACCATTGCCGAGGGATTCGGCCGTGAGGGTGGCGAATCGCGCCGAGGGTGAGCGGCTGAGAAAGACGAAGGAGGACAAGAAGAGGAAGAAGCGGTGGAAGCTGTGGGCGTGGGAATGAGGGGAGGACACTAACGATGATGCTGACGATGATGATGGTGACGATGACGAGGTCATGGAGGTAGACGACAATATCGAGTGGGACAACATAGAGAACAAAGATGCGCTGACAGGCGTCGGTTTGTCCTTACAGGCGCCGGGACCCTTCTCGTTACATGGAGGGGAGGGCACTTCTAGGGAGCCAGCAGAGGCGGGCCATACCGTCGGCCTACCCCAGGAGCCTACACAGGTGGGTAGCTCTGCCTTCGCGCTCGAGGTGCCGACGAAGGCGGGTAGCTCCGCCATTGCACCTTGAGTGCCAAGGGGAGTGGGGCGTTCTGCCAATGTGCCCCAGGAGCTACCAGGGTGAGCCCCTCTGCCCAAGAGCAGGGGCGGGCTCAAAACGGCCTCATTCCGATGAGGTGGAGCAAGGGTCGGGGGGTTCGTCCGACAAATGCGTCTACCGCCTGACGGCGCTGAGGTGAGTCATCAATTCCTCTATTTTTCCTATTTTAGTCCGATTTCATCATGACTTATGTTTTTTGTCCCTTGCAACGTCGGCAGGCACCAGAATCCTTTGGCACTAGCGCCGAATAAGAGCATCACCCTATAATCAGGGCGGCGGCCGTCGGCTGGTGTCGCGCCCATTTTGGGTGGGAGCGGCGCCAGTGTGACCGTGTCATAGGCCGGTCGAGCGCCGCCCATGGTGGCGCCTGTGCCCTCGGTGGGACAGGCGGACATGGGTGTTCAAGGGGCACCTTCGGAGGTCGTGGAGCAGTCGGTGACGGCTATGATACCGCTGCCGACGGGGCAGACGGGGCTACCAACCATGCTCGTGGCGCTGACCATGGTGGGCGCGATGCAGCCGGTCGTGACCCCACCGATGCAGGTGGAGGTGGAGGTGGCGGTGGCTGTGACAGATGGGTCACAGCCAGGCGCAACTGCAGCGTCGCCTAAGGCATTGGCACGACCTGAACCATCGGCGGCCCAAGCAACGGCGCCTGGCATGGGCCGGACGAAGGGGGACGCTGCCGAGGGGTCCCCAGGAGTCATGGTGCTACCAGAGAGGTTCGCGTCCGCACTGCTGACCCCTTCCATTATCGGAGGAGGCGTCCCAGCGGGGACATTACGGCGAGAGGGATTGACGATGCTTGGGGCTAGTGGGGAGTTGTCCCTGACCCTGATGTCAGTGGGCAGTGGCTCACCCGCGCGGGGCGTGCCCCTGCTCCAGTGGGCGGATCCGTAGGATCCGGCGTCGACGCTTTTTACCCTTGACGACGATGCAGAGAGCATGGAGTGGGAGAGCCTCGATGTAGGGATTGTGTCTGTGCTCGAGGCCCTAGACCACGCCACGGGCACATTACGCGATGTCGTTGTTCCCTCCGGCCGGGTATTGCTTGATCCTATTTCTTGCCTTTTTCTTCCTCTATATACTTTTTGTATCCAGACCATCGTCTCCCTATAGTCCCTTATAGCTCGCAGCCGAGGGAAATTTTGCTTCCTTCATCAATAGAAGGAAGCCTAGGACCGCCTCGTCGAGGAGGCGCAGCTACGTGGGGAGGTGACAGCTCAGCTCGTTGTCGCGCCAGCAGAGGGTGGTCGAGCTGACTCCCCTCGCCGAGGAGGCGGCCAATCTTCAGCCGTGGATGGTCGAGGCCCGTCAAGATGCTGACAAGGCCAAGAAGGCGTTCGAGGCCCTGTCAGCGAGGTCGCGGAAGGATGACGAAGAAGCCGCCAGGGTAAGAAAGGAGCGGGATGAGTTGCTCCAGAAGGACGCCGAAACCCACCAGCGGATCCTTGACCTTCTGGGCGATTGCTCCTTCTCATTATGGGGGCAGCATCGATCTGGAGGCGATGAGCCATGGCTACATGCCCGAGTATGAACTCCACGAGCTAGAGGAGATGGAAATGGCGGTGGCTCCCTATTTACACCAAAATTTAGAAAGAAGAAAGCGGAAACTTGAATCTTCTAAGATTGTATCATCAAGGAATCAATCAGATGTGAATCGATATCAGGCTAGTTTTGAGGCAGTGTCGGAATCGGCTATTTTATAGATGACGTCAGCAGATAACGTCGATGGACTACGTACGGATGGCGTCGGGAAAAAATATGTCGGACTCTAAAAAGGAAAAGATTAGGGTCCAAGTTATTTTAAGAATGTTTTCTTTTGTTCCAAGAATTGTAATGAGTTGTATTTGAGTAGAATTCATGTTTAGGTTCCGGGTATAAATATTGGACCCCGGTTATTGTAAAACAACCAATCAATCAATACAATTACTTTTTTGGCTTCACGTCAACTCTTAAAAGTAGGAGTACTGGAGATCTCGACGAGTTCTTCAACAAGCAAGGCTGCATCAACTGATAGACCTCCGACTTGTCTGTGAGTACCGTCACGACTTGTATCATACTTGTAAAGCTGCATCTGATCTTTTCAACTCCTTTAACCTATTGTTGCAGTAGTTTGTTCCGTGTTGTTGCAATAATATATTCATGGTGTTTCAGCTGCTTCAGCCTAATATTACAGCAGTTGTTCAATGTGTGTTGCAATAATATATTCATGGTGTTTCAGCTACTTCAGCCTAATGTTGCAGTAGTTGTTTCCATGTTGTTGCAATAATATGTTCATGGTGTTTCAACTGCTTCAGCCTAATATCGCAGTAGTCGTTCCGTGTTGTTGCACGTGTTTTATTCCAGCTTTTAATGTTGTCCGGCTGGGGAGGGGCGAGCCGGGTGGGCAGGGGCGCGTGGTTCGCCGGAGGCCTAGCGGGCGGAGGTGCTGGGGCCGGCGGACGCGGGGTGCTGTGGCCATGGGGCGCGCTGGGCATGTAGCATGCTCGTCACAGGCGGACGTGGGGCGGACACGGCGAACTGCGGGGTGATCTGGGAGCGTGCAAATGGGGGTCGGAGGCGTGCTGAGGGCGTGCGAACCGAAAAGGGGCGCGTACTGGGGGAGTGCGTCCACGGAACTGTCCGATGGATCGGTATCCACCCGACGTCCGGGCGCCAGAGCTCCCCTTGCGCAAAGGCAGGATGAGTTTGTATCGCGGGAAAGAAGACGGGCTCATGATTAGCGGCGTGGACATGCGCCTCTATCATGTTTGACGTCTGCGCGATCCTTTATTTATTTATTACTGGCAAAGTGTGTTCATGCGTTACAATCACAACATAACGTACACTTTGCTATATATGGTCATCTGAATAACTTATGACTCAGGTTTATCTACCAGCCACCTCATATGTTCTATATCAATACATCACACAATTTGTATTCATATTTGTATATAACTGTTTGTATTTGATCCATTTGCATCCCTGCTCCCAAATATCCTCCAGGTTGTTCGGTTTTGTGCCAGAAAAGCTTGATCCGCCGACAACAAGGGCTTAGGATTTCTCATGCCGTTTTCAGAGCTCCTGGATGTAGCCGTGACTGTTTAGTACGTAGGCAGTAGACCGTAGACGGTTTAGTTGTTTTTCTCTTCAGTGTGAATCTATTTCTTGTTAAACAGAACAGGGGTGGCGTGGGGCTCCCAAAAGCTGAACCCCATGCACAATTCGGTGACGCGCAGCTTGCGCCGCATAGGAGCTTTGTAATCTACTATTCTCCTCTCTTATAAATGAAACTTTCGAAAACAAAAACAAAAAGCTTGATCAAAATTTGGCCTGCGTAGTGCGTACTAAATCTACCTATAATTTGGTCCTCATGAGTCATGATGCGGTTTCATTGTCAGAGACCAGACGGATGAGCCAGTATCAGGTGCCGGCCAATTGCAATGAGTGTGCAAATACTGAAATACATGAGTGCATGCAACGGGCATAGAAAACTGTCGATCACGCAGAGCTGTGGACGTGCAGGCCGGACCGTGGCGGCGTGGCGCGGTGCGGGGGATCAACCGGGGCCATTTGCGTCCGCCCGGCCGGTGCAAGTACATGTCCGTGCAGCTAGTGTCACTTGTTGGCTCACGATCTAACGCGACAGTAGGATCTGGGCACTCGTACACAGCAGCTCTCGTTCGTGCGCGGCTCAACAACCGAATTGTCTTCTGCTTGTTCCACCTGCGCAATTGTCTGCGTTCTCGCCGATCAGATGATGATCAATCTGAAGTCCCACAACCAGCTTGGGCGCGACGAGGCCCTGGTCCTGTCACGCAGTTCGGCACCGGCGAACTGACGACTGAGACAGGCGCCTTGTTTGGATCCGAGCCGTGACAGGACCAAAACCGTGTCCGTGTGCGCGGGCCTGGTTCCCAAATCCCAGCAGGGCCGTCTCGTAAACGAAATCTCCTGCCAACAGCAGCCGAGTCCGAAGGCGCGACGGGCAGGTTCCAGCTTCCAGGGCCATAAAACGCGAGCCCACGGCGCGGCGAGACGCACATCAGAACACACGACGAATCCAGCACGCGCTGCACGAGACTGCGAGCGCACACATCGAAGATCATCCCCAGGAAGCTAGCTAGTTGGGCGACGCACAGGCACAGCATGGGTTGGCGTCGGCTTAATCTGACGACGTCGCTCCTCGCCGTCGTCGTCCTAGCGCTTTTCGCCGCGCCGTGTGCCGCCGCCGCGCAGGTCAAGACGACCGACATGCGCTGGAGCTTCCGCGTCCCTTTACCCAGCGGCGTGAGCGGCGCCGAGAGCCTCGCGTTCGATGGCAAGGGCGAGGGGCCCTACGCCGGCGTCTCGGACGGCCGCGTCCTCAAGTGGGGCGGCAGCACCGTCGGCTGGACAACGTACGCGCACAGCGCGAACTACAGGAAGATCCCTCTGTGCACCGCGGGCGTGGTGCCGTCGGCGGAGACTGAGAGCATGTGCGGCCGCCCCCTGGGCCTGCAGTTCCACTTCAAGACCGGTGACCTCTACATCGCCGACGCCTACCTAGGGCTCATGAGGGTCGGGCCGGGCGGCGGCGAGGCGGAGGTGCTGGCGACCGGCTCGGACGACGGCGTCCCGTTCAACTTCGTCAACGGCCTCGACGTCGACCAGGCCACGGGCGACGTGTACTTCACCGACTCGAGCGCGACGTACCCGAGGAGGTTCAACACGGAGATCATGATGAACGCGGACGCGACGGGGTGGCTGCTCAGGTACGACGCGCGCACGGGGGCCGTCACAGTGCTCAGGTCCGGCCTGCCGTACCCGAACGGCGTGGCGGTCAGCCGCGACGGCGCGCAGGTCGTGGTCGCGCACACCGTGCCGTGCCAGGCGTTCAGGTACTTGCTCCGCGGCGCCCGGGCGGGGCAGTACGAGCTGCTGGCGGACCTGCCGGGGTACCCGGACAACGTGAGGCGGGACGGTAAGGGTGGCTACTGGGTGGCGCTGAACCAGGAGAAGCAGCGGCTGGACGCAACGCCAGAGACGGCTCCCGTGAAGCACCTGGTCGGGGTCCGCTTGGACGCTCACGGGATGGAGGTCGAGGAGCTCACGGCGGCCAAGGGTGTCACGCTCAGCGACGTGGCGGAGAGGAGGGGGAAGCTGTGGCTGGGCTCCGTGGAGCTCGAGTACGTCGGACTGGTTGCATGAGCGGCTGCGTGCCAAACTGCCAACGTTAGCTATGGTCGTGTTAGGATTAGGAATTGGATTAGCAAGTAGGAGTAGCTGAGTTTCATGTCGTCTCGTGACTAAGTAGTATACCAACATTGTTATTGTATACCGATTATTAAATTTCATTATCGTTTGATTATTGTACCGCTTATTTTCCTCAAGAAGTTACTGCTCGAGGGCACGTATGCACTGCCCGTTCTCAGGTCCATCCAGAGCATCCGAGGTTTCGATCGCCATCCCGATGACGTGAGCCGCGGCGGTACATACGTCGTCGCAGCAGTGAGCAAACAGTACTCCGATATGGGTTTCACGGTTCACGCACATGCCGTCGGAACTCAGACGGCACGTCAGGCTACGTACTGATCGACCTGCCAGTGGTATCTAGCATGTACACTGTACACGATATATTAACTCGAATATGTACATGCGTGCGTTATGTGGTCAGAAGAGTGAGCTCTGCCTATGTTCAACTGGAGAGCAGAGACCAGACAGCTCTGATCGCCAACCTTGGCCATGACGTGAGGGTACTTTGCACCACAAATCGTCAAAATCGTACTAGTTGATTTTTACTGTCGACTACAGAGAAGATGAACCATACAGCAACGGGAAAAGGGTTGGTAATCATTAATCAATAATGATCTATACTAGTGGATTTTCTCTCTTACCATTGGCTTACACCAGGCCAAGAACGACTACAGCAGCATCCGTACATGATGTTCGTATACATGCCCTTCATTTGAAACTTTGCTTTAGTTTTTCTCTCCACTATGAGCTGATCAAGTATTACCACTGCGTTGGAGATTCCATGTCTGTAACGGAAATGAAAGATGGACATTTTTGTGTCTCCAATGCAATTGCATACTCAAAAGTAGCAATTGGGCTCCAGTTGGTGATGAAAGAAAGGAGCGAAAGGCAGGAACTTTTAAAAGGGGTCATCCATGCTCTGGGAACAGGGAAAGCTCTGCTTATTTGCCCCCAAATCCTTTCGTTGCTCCATGGAAATCACAGCTTACATGGCCGGTAAAAGCGGTGCTACACCGTTTTCAACCAAAGCTCTGGCAGCCTGCAGTAGCAAGCCAAACAGGCCCCAAAAATTACCATGGTCTAATAAAGTACACGATGTTTTGGCATGAGGCTCCTGGGATGGTCGTTGCTGAACATTTCGGTACCGAGATTGGGAGCAGAACAAAGAAATCGTTCGGAACGACAGTTTAAACTACAACGTCATGTTTACATGCAGTATTGCATAGAGTAAATAAAAGTTCAGTAGTACAAACAGTAACTGATGAGTGATGATAGTACATCATATATGTATATCACTATAATCTAGCCTGGAGCCCTGGAGTCGGGAAATGATTTAAAGATGCTTCCTGACAACGTTTAGTGACGTGATTGGTGAGGAACAAGGATCCCTCTTTTTTTGAGCAACTGGCTCCTTCAACCTTTATGCATCCCTCTTTTCTTGTTTAATGACGTGATTGGTGAGGAACAAGTCCAGCTTGTACAAATATTTTACTGTACCAACTATTTAGCTTCTGCCTTCGCTATTAAATTTAAGGATGAAGTCAGCTAGAACATTGGTGTCATTGCTTGTGTTCCTCGTGGATAACCAACTATCATCAAACTGAACATCAACATCCCTGAGGCAGGAAAAGGAATAAGTTGAGCTGTTTAGATCCATGCAACATCATTGCCAAATACAAATCTATCCGTATCTCCAGTGAATATCTTCGTACTATTGCTTGGTGAGTGATGAAAAAATGTAGCTAAGCATAGTTAAGTGTTCACAGTATGCTTGACTATCAAGAATGACTTGAGCATGCAGAGATAGCATGCATTAACCAAGGCACAAGCTAATACGTGAATGATTGAAGTTTTGAATATTTTTTTATCAATGCAAATTGGAAATTTCATACCTCTTCAGGCTAAGAACTTTGTAATTTTTCCGTAAGTAATCTGCATGCTTAGTGAGAGCATCCTGGGCATAATCTTTGCCAACAGTTCTAACTGCAGCTGTGTTTAGCAAGTTTTCTAATGAACCATGTTTTTGCAGTAGTTTCACTGCAGTCTTTCTACCAAATCCCGGAACCAAGTGCTGGATTCCTGGAACACCATCTGCTTCATCACCCATGAAGCACCCTGTGCAGCATAACTTCCAGTACATTAGTTGCTCAAATATAACAGAGACCAACGGCTACAGAAATCATGGATCATACCAAAAGAAATATACTCATACTCACTAAGGCTTAAGTCTGCAGTTGGATCACACTTGTATTGAGCGACATAATGCCTTAATGTATAGAACGACCATCGGCCAATCTCAGGAATGGGCATGACTAACTGAACATCATCAGATATCAGCTGCTTGAAGTCTTTATCTGGTGAGGCAATGACAACTCTGTAACCTTTCTGTAGAACCTGTTCTGTCAAGGTAGCCACCACATCATCAGCCTCATATCCATCGACTCTTACAACCTGATGAATTTGCCGTTTCCAAATTGATTGTCAGACTCAATAATTTGACCAGAGAACAATCGAGTGACTGCACTAGTTTAAACATTGTGTTGGTTTACTGACCGGGACATTGCATTCGCGGAGAACGTTGACGACGCGCGTGTCAGCGCCAGTGCCAACGCCGCGAGCCCTATGCGCCTTGTACGAAGGCAGCAACCGCCTCCGGTACTCGTTCCCTCCTTCCCCGTCCAAAACCTAAGGCCAGAGAGAAAATCTTCAGAAAGAAGTTACCTAACGATCGATGATTCCTCCAGTGTGGGGCTGAAACAGCGCGCGTGTACCCACAGCCACGACAGGGTCACGGAGGCTGACGTGTGCGAAGAAGAGCGCCAGCCAGCGCGCAAAGGCGCCGAGGCTGCGCTGGGAGCCGCGGAAGCATAAAGGATTGACGTCGAGGAAGAACACCCGGGACTTGGTGGGCTTCGACGGGGAGCCGTCCCTGCCCGACAGGTGCTTGCGGGAATGCCCCGCTGGTGACGCGCTGGATATGGCCGAGGTGGAAGTAGAGGGAGAAGAAGGGGTACTGGCGGCTCGAGTCGCGATGAGGCGGAGCGGACGAGACCTGAGGGGCGCCGCTACCCCTGCGGCGGTGACCGCCCCCGCGGTGGGCAGTGGCAACATCACTAGCACAGGACGCTGCGGTTGGAGTTTCTGGATAGAGTGCCGAACGAAATAGAGGATGGATTTTGATGGGCTTCTGGAAAAAACCCATATTTGCTATTGGGACAAAAGCCCGTATTATTTCTGACTAACGGCATACATTTGTTAAGTGTGTAAGGCCCATCACAGTTTGGAATTGCAATTTCATCGCCTTTGCTTGATGATGAGCTGAGGTCTAAGGGCATGTACAACGCCTCTGTACACCCCGTCTGTACATCGTATATTTTACAAAAAGAACCCCGGTTGTGAGGAGACGAGCTCGCCCCGTCGTTTCGCGAGACGACGAGCGTGGCTCGTGGTCCAAGAAGCCCTCGTCTCTCTAGAGTCGCGTTGTACGGGGGAGTCGACGATCGGGAGGATCCATCCACTGTGGACGTGCGCGCGCAGAGGAAGTTGAGGGCGCGCGGGAATGGATTTTCACGCCAAATCCACTGCGGCGGCGCCGCGATGAGAGTGGCGGCGGGCCGAAGGGCAAGGTCAGCGGCGGACGCGCATCTTCCTCCATTGGTCGATCCAGTAGGGCGGCGAGCCTCTTCCCCGTTGGAGGCAGATCCGGCTCGGCAGCCGGCCTCCTCCCCTTTGGCGGCGTATCCGGCCCGGCAGCGCCTCTCTTCCCTATCAGCGGCGGCAACAGCGAACATCGGCATCGTCCTCATCCATGGCTGCATCCGGCACGGCCCAATCCTCCCCTATCTGCGGCTTCACTAGCCACGGCGGGGGCGTCTTTGATTATCAGTAGATGTTTCTGAATTTTGATTATCAGTACATGGTTTTCATTATTAGATTACTGCATGTTTTTTTTTCTGAAAACAGATCTGAAGTGATCTGAAGTAGCAGCGATCTTATTTTGCTTTAACACTAGTAGTAACAGTGATCTTATTTTTCTTAAACAATAGTAGCAGTTGTTGTCAACCAATACTAGCAGCAACCTGTTCAAGTGAATGATGACGAGAACGAAATGGTTAGGACTGAGAAGCGGATTATGTGGCTGATTTTGTAAGCTGCTACTTTTCTGAAATTTCAGTCATTATCAAAGGACACAGTTCCTATTGTTATCTGAAAACTTAGTGTATATGTTCTCTGAAAACTAGTATATCTGTTTGATTCTGGAAATGACAGTGTGAAATGTTACCTAATAGTGTGAGTCTGAATGTGAAATGGCAGTTTTGCTTGTTTTCTACTAGTGAACTGAATGATGACAAGTGGTACCTGTACTTGTGCATTTCACTTGGTTTCTGTTTCGGGGTTGCACTAATTTTCTGAAAACTATGAGCTACTAAGCATGTTAGTGTCATCCTGCTATGAACTATGATGCTAGTTGCTGTGATGCTGCTGCTGTGATCCTTTGCAAAAAAATACCTGAATATTTACTGGATGCTGCTGCTGCTTGTCTGAAAATTTGGACTGAATACTTATGAATATTTGTGACTTCACTCACTGTTGTAGTTGATCTCACCATGTTGGTGATTTCAATTGGTGGGGAATGTGTTTTTGGAGATTTCAGTTCTGAAAATATCACTTTTATGTATGTTCAGACCTGCAGATCACTTTTGTCCATATGTTCAAACTTGCCGATCATTGTTATTTGTTCCATATCCAAAACTGTTGGAATGCATGTGACTTGAGGAACACCTGGACGTGCCTAAAGATATCAACGGGACCCGATCCCCGATTCCCCGCGGGAAATTCTTCCATTAGGGGATGGAGATGGGGAGAATTAATCACCACGAGAAAATATTTGGTAGAAAGGCTGTCCCCGTCGGGGATGGTGGGGACGGGGATGGTTGCCTGGTCCCCAACCCCGATCCCCGCCAACCCGCCCCGCCAGGCCGCGAAGCACGCAGCAGGCGCCGGCCCATGTAAAGGCCCAGTCGCGGAGGTATATAACGCGCCGTCCAAACCCTAATTCTCCAACACCCTGCTCACGCTGCGCAGCTCCACGCCCGCCTCCTCGTCTTTGCTGGGTGCTGGCGCGCGCCCTCCCTCACCTGCACTTCACGGCGCTCTCCTCCCGGTCACTCCCTCCCTCGGTCCCTCCCTCTTGTGCGCCCTCTCCCAGTCTCCCTCCCTCCAGTGCTCTCCTCCCGGCTCCCTCCCTCTTGCGTGCCCTCTCCTCCCTCCTTCACGACGTCGTCCTCCCTTTGTAGCGGCGTCCTCTCTCCTCCCTCCGGCACAGATCATGGCGGAGCGGCCCTCACAGCGCTCGGCGGCACAAATCCATGCCGAGGCCGGGTGTATCTATGGCGGGGCAACGTGGATCCAAGCAGGGCCTGGGCGGATCCTCGGTGTGGTGGCCCACCCGTGGCGGCATCGCGCGGGGCGGCACGGCCTCCCTCTCGCGGGTGCGGGCAACGGCGTACCCCGGCGGCGGATCTGGCCAAGGAGCACCTCCAGCGGCGGCGGATCCTCCCTCTCCCTTGAGCTCGGCGGCGGATCTGGCCGAGGAGCACCTCTAGCGCCTTCTCCAGGCGGATCTGCGACTGTGGTGGTCAGATCCGTGGGCGAGGTGGCCGCTCCTGGCCGCGTGCTCGTCGATGGCGTCCACGACGGCGGCGGCGAGCGTGCTTCATGTGTTGCGGGGAGGGGGATCCCCGCGGGGATTAAATCCCCAAGCGGAGACGGGGATGGGAAAGAAGTGCTCCCCATGAGCCTTCACGGGGACGAGGACGGAGGAAATTTGCCCCCGCGGGGACGGGGATGGGGCGGTAACCCCTGACGGGGAATTTCCCGTTGACATTTGGAGACGTGCCTTTGCAAGGCTAGTGTTTGATCAACAAGCTACATGCAACATAATGGTATACAAAAATTAATTTATCATTGATCTTGGCTACATGCAAAACATTAAACAGCCTGTAGACAACGAAATAGACCATGGGTTGTATGTCTTGTCTTTTTACCTATATGTACGATAAATTCGAGGCGTTTACAGACGACCCCGTCTGTGGGCTGTACATGCCCTAAACACAACATGGTACATTTTTTTGATCTTGTTTAAGAGAATCAAGCTTGTAATCTCACGCGGAGATCTTTTTCCCATCTTTTGAGCTGGCGCACTTTGGAGAATACTAATTCCACTCCGATTTTGCTGACACGGTTTTGGAATAAACTTCGAATATGACAGGAATATTTTATTCCTCTTTATACAAATACAATAAATTGAAGGTTTCTTGGAAATCTCTGGACTGATTCCTGCTGTTGACGTCCATTTGTGTCCAAGCTTAATATAATCAGGCGATTCCCAATAAGAGGTTGCTTACAGTAAAGCGGCGCCAATTGTCATCCGGTGACAAGGACTCGAAGTAGATTAATGGGGATACCAATTCATGATATGCAGGGCGCATGTGTTCAGCAAAGCAACGCATATTCCAATTCCACGCCCAAATGAACATGATTGGTTGGTTCCTTCGTCCAAATCAATGTAAATCCGATAAGAAAGCGAAAGCTTTTGCAGAAATAAAAAAAAGGTAAAAGAAAAAGAAAGAGGAGAAAGTGTAAGACTGAAGAAGCTCGTCTTTGTTTTTCTGAAAAACCTGTCTGTGCATAACCAGTGCTCGGTGGCTCGATCGGTCTGAACATCAGCATGACCCGAGCGTACTACAGGCCAAATTGGCCAGTAGCCAATTGCCAACAGCTCAGTCAGAGAAGACTCTGAACGTCCACACATGTTCATAACTCCCGCACAAAGAATGACCAATGAGGCAATGACTCCATGTATTTACTATCATTAAGCCGGCGAGCTTTGGCCGCCAGCCACCCTGCCCGTGTCGCCCGAAATTCCACTGGCCGTCCGATTCTCCGATCGACGGCCCGTGTTGGCTCCGTCGCTCGCTACAGCCCGCGCCCGCCCGCTACGAAGCCCTCGGCGGCTCTCACAGACTCCGACGCCCTCCTCCTCTCCGCTCTCTCTCTCCCTCCCTCGCTCCCCGCTCGCGACGCGGCTTAGGCGACGGCGCGGGACGGCCTCGGCGGTGGCCCGCCCTCCGCGCCGCGGCGGCCTCCCTCCCTCCTCCTCCTCCTCCTCCACCACCACCACCACCGCCACCACGCCACTTCCTCCTCGCGACGCAACGCGGCGGGTCGCGCGGCCTAGGGTTTCGCCCCTCCGTCGCCGGTCGTCCCCACGGCCACGCGGCCAGCCAGCGGACGCCCTGACGCGCCGGAGGCCTCTGGCGACGAAGGAACCTCCGTGCTGGCCGTGCATGACGACGGGAAGGTCACGTCACCAACCTCGGCGGTGGATCTGGAGCGGCCGCTCGCGGGGCCCCTCCCGGCGGCCGATCTGAGGCTGGAGCACGGCGTCGACCTCGCGCAGCCAACGGAGACGGTGGATCTGCGGTGAGCAGCCGGATCCTGCGCCGGCCCTCCCCGTCTCCACTAGATCCGCCTGCATGACCTCCACCGATGGCCGGTGCGTGGCCGGCACGGTGGCGCGCGTCCACGAGCTGGCCCCCGCTGCCCCCCGCAGGTGGCCGGGATGCAGCTCCTTCGACATGTGTGTGTTTGATTCAGAGGTTATATATCTTTCTATTACAACAACTATTTCTTAGCTTACAAAAATAATGGCCTTCATATCATGTATGTGTTTGATTCCGATGATAGAACAAAGCCCGATGAAACTTAATAATTTGATTTGTTCATACACGGTTGGCCCAAAGCAGTGCCCCATTCAATGCATTTACGTTTTCCTGCGCATTCATACTGCATAATTATGGTTACGATGTAATCTACTTTGCTACACTAAACTCCCTCTGCTGCTACTCATGCAATTATGCTATCAAAATGTTTACAAGTTCAGGTTAACCGCTTTTAGCAAAATATTTCTGCTCTAAAGACCCTCCTGATTGCAATTTTTCCCATTTTGCTAGGTTACCTTTGTAGGGTTTTGTTACCACCTGGGTTCTAAGATTGTTGTTTCTGCCATGCTTTATTTAGTTTTCCACCTTGTGTCGGCTGAATGCTCC